TCTCGCCGCCAGCACGCAGGCCTCTTGGGCAGCCCTAAATAACCCTTGGGCCCCAAGATGTGTAGACACCCTTCACATTTTTAAAATGGCAGTCACGTCTCTGCTCTTCTGTCACTTAAGCAAAGTTCTCCTGAGCTCTTGTTGGCCGGTTCAAAGTCGAGGAGGCGCGAATGCTGGCCACGCGTTCCCTCCAAAGGAGGTGTTCGAGGGAACCGCGTGCAGGTGTCTAGTCGTTTACAACAGACTCTTACGGAAAGCTTAAGTGACAGGTATCCGTCCCCTTGCCTTTCTGAAATACTCCCATACACTTCTTAATTTTTTTCTATCCCTCCGATTTCTTGCGTGGTAGCCTAACTAAAACATAAGCTACTTATTTTTCTCGTGGACGCAACATAATTGGATTTATCTTTGTCAGGAGATAGTCTGTTATGGCCTTTATTTAATACATTTTCAGGTGTCATTCAGTGGCAGAAACAAATTAATGTGCATTTTTATTAGGTGTCGTATCTGTTTAATTGACTGCAAAAGGGATGAAAAGTTTGGAGACCGGCTGAGAGAGGGGGTCCACCGCCCTCAGCCCAACAGCTCCCGAGCTAGGTAGGGTTGCCCTGTCGGTGGGGTGCCTTTAGAAAACACTAATAGCTTCCAGCTGGGTGGAAAATCAGAACCTTTGGGGTCTGACAAATCTAGCAGATTTGAATTTGAAAGCAGAGCTAATGCCTCCATTTTATTTTTTACCGCTCGCCCATAAAACATTATTTTCCAATATGTCAGCCTCATTTGGTGGCCAGTGGTCTGAAATGAAAAGTGGAACAAGCGAGTGGAGAAATCTGGACACCAGCGCGCCCACCCTTTCAGGCCGCTCGCCACTTTGTGGAGGAGCCTCCGGGAAGAGCAGGGGGGCTCGGCGACCCTCCGCCAGTGCCCCGGCCGCTGGTTGGCCGTGGAGCGCCTTCCCATTCAGTTTGTCAAGTCTTGCACGGGGAAAGTCAGAAGGAGCCTCATTCAGCTTTGCCCGGGCCACTAGGAGCAAAGCGCTCCACTTGAACCCACCCTGCCCCCCTTTCTTCACGTTGTTAACGCAGCCCTGCTTAAATGAGTGCCTTTATTGGGTCAGTTGGAATATCTGAAACTATTAATTCTCTTGCACTGAATAGCTGGTGGCAGGCCGGAGCAGATGGGGTAGGCAAGTATTTGGTTGGGTGTATTGCTTTCAATTAGGATCAATGAGGTTTCAGCTCCTTTGAATTAACTCACTTAATACCCACTGTGTGAAGGCACAGCCTGCTAGAAGCAGAGAGGAAAGTCGAGAAAACCTGTAGAAAAGCTTTAAGGCGAACCCCCCCCACCTTCACTGGGGAGGGTGTGGGGGGCTTTGTTAATTGCGGACAGTTTTAACCGACTGCTGGACCCTATTGGTCAAGTCAGGTTTTGAACAAAGGGGAAATATGTATGATCGGGCTTGTTTTTTTGGAAACCAGTGAAAAATACTTTGGAGTAGTGATACGATACCATAATGCCTTTCGAGAGAAGGGTGCCAGTTTATTGTCAAAATGCAGTTCATGTGTTTTGGGGGAGCCTGGTGTTCGATTGTTGACTGAACGTACAGATGTGGAAGGTGATTCCTTAGAGGAGCCCTCCTTAACGAATCGCCTTGAAAGTGCCCTGTGTCCTTAATTAAGAGACGTGGCTTCCCGAGAAGTGCTTAACGGGCCAGCAGTGGATTCCTTGTGATTGTTTGGAATATAGTTAATTTTTTCAAGTATGTTTTCTAGTGGTGATGCAGGCTGGCGTTGTGTCCTGGAGAGGGCCTGCGATCCAGATTCCTTTTCCCCCACTCACGTACACAAATGCACTCTCCACATTATTGATTGTCTATTTTTATTATACAATTTGGATGTTAGAGATCTTGGCTCCTATGCTTTTTTCTTATTATTAAAGGGAAAGTTATTTTTGTCTAAGTAACTAGATAGGACTCTGCATCCAGGTTTCCATGCTCAAGGAAAGCTGCCAAACAGAGGTGCTGCTCTGCTGGCCTTTCGGGTTAGAGAGCGAGACGAGGAAACTGGTTCCCCAGGAAAATGCTGAACTCGTCTCAGATGCGCGCACACGAGCTAGGCCCTTTCTGCAGCCAGGCTTCTAGGTGAGAATCTCCAGGGATCCGGGTTTTGTTGACACGGATCAATTTAAAGTGGCAATTACTGTAGTCAGATAACAGCTTAAAAAGCTTTTTTTACACATAGGAAAGATACATAATCACACGGCATATGGAAGTTCAATTTTCCGAGCTGTGGTTTAGGGACGTGCAGTGCGCCGATAGATATTAAGACCCAGCCTTAAAACCGGATATCATCCGGTTTCCTTAAAGTGCATTGCGTTTCTGTCGTACGATTTTCCATTTCGGGAGCGAGTCACCGTGCCTATCGATGCAAGGTTGGGTCCCCCACTGTGAAAATGTTTTCTTTCTAACGTAGGGAAAGGATTTAAAAAAAAAAAAAAAAATCGAGTGGCTTTAAAAAAAATCACTCTTTTTAAAAATGAAAATATACGGGTTTAGGATGCTGGATTCCACAAAGGCCCTCACGGCAGGACTTAATTGATATCACTCTCATGCCCACCGTAGAGCTTTCTGTCATAGGAATGTCTGAGCTTGGTGCTTAACTGTCCCGAAATCCATTACCCAGAACCTCATTACAAGTGACATCTAACTAAGATGAACAAAAAGATTGGCCTCATAAATAGGGTGCCGTATACGATTAGCGACAGAGCAGAGCAATCATTATGAATTATGGTCTTTTTACAAGTTGCCTCTGACAGTGATGGATTTTTGAGGGGTCCTCCGGACGAAGCAGGGCTTCTCGGGTGCCCCGTTTGGGGGCTGCCGGAGTTCTTACCGATGGACGCTGTGTCCTGAAGATGATTTATTTTTAGGCCGCCCGGGTGCGGGTGGGCATGCTCCGGAGCAGGTTGTGTTGGAGTGGCGGGTAGGTACTTTCGGGCGGGCTTTTAGGGTTTCTTCAGGGCAGCAAGTGGGTGTG